TGATGACAGCCGGCGCCCGGCCCCCCACAGCACCCTCGCGGGCGGCGAGGCCAGGGCGGAGGAGGAGCTGCACGCCCAAACTCTCCGGAAGGACTGCGGCCGGGGGTCTCTCTCCGGCTTGGGCCCCCGAGGCGCGAGTCTGTAGCTACTCTGGGTGTCTTAACAAGCGAGGGGTGTCCCCCCCCGACGGGGGTCAACCTCGCCTCGTCGTCGCGCCGCGACGGGGGTCGGAGCGCCTTTGGCGCGCGGTGGCTGCCCGCGACGGGGGTCGATGTGGGGCTGTCGGCGGGGGTGGCGCCCCCCCGACGCTTACTAAGAAACTCGGAGAACCCTTGACTGCCTCCGGCCCTGATGTTAGGTCAGGCATGCCCCCCTGCAGGCGGATTTTGGACGCAACACCAAAAGTACACCAAAAAGAATAGAAACATCGTCCCCTGATAAAAGACATGCCCGACTTAGCTCTGACACAAGACATGCCCGACTTAACTCGTCCCCTGATACAAAAACATGCCCGACATAATAGAACATTTCTCCTGTAGAAAGACATGCCCGACCTAACCCTGATAATCCGTTGGGCGCCCGAATTGCCCGGGAGAACTGCGGTCCTGGGTCTCTCCGGTCTGGGCCCGCAAGGCGCGAATCTGTAGTTACCCCTGACCGCCCCCAGCCCTGATGATTCGGGGCTCTGAAGGAGGAAGATGAGGAGGACGCAGATCCCCTCGCGTGGCAACAAATATATACAAAGTGCACTGTGCACTAAAGCCTGGATCATGCGCGGGCGCCCCGCGATCACTTTGCATGAGTTTTTGACAGGGACGACGGAGGGGGGAGGGCAGCAGATTGCCTGCTGTGTGCAATGCCATCACCAGCCATCACCACCAACCATCCCTGCAAGAAACAATACAAAATACACTTTGCACCAACATCTGGATCATGCGAGGACGCCCCGAGATCACTGCGCCTTGGTTCTTGACAAAGACGGCGGGGGGGCGTCGTACTGCCTGCTGTGCAGGCCCACCATCCGTCAAAAACATGGCATGGGCAAAGTTCTGCGGGCGCACGCCAACACACAATACACATTGATCGCCCACCCACCGTCCCTTTGCATTGGTTTTTGACAGGCATGGTGGGGGTCGACATCTTGCCCAATGCGGCGCGCCTGCTGTGCGTGGGGCACCTGCCGCGTGCGGCGCACCTCGCAGGCTTCGCGCACCTGGCTGGCGTTTGCACTGGCATTGGTTGCAGATGGTTGTTGGCGGCCACTGCCTATGCTGAGACTCGGGGGCTACTTTTGTAGTGGGAGGGCGGGTGCGAGTGAGCGAGACAGCTTGCGACGTTCTCGCTGGGAACTTCATCCATCACTGCTCTTGATTCAAATGCATACCCTACCCCACCCGACCAAGCACAGAACGGGGACCATGCCCTCTCTCCATCCCTGATTAAAAACGTTAGTCAGCGTGGGCCCCAAATGGTGTGTGTTCTAGCATACAAGGTGATGCCATCCATGTGGTGTAAGTGAAACTATGTGGTGCAAACTATGTGATGGAAGCTATATGATGCCATCTACGTGATGCTAGATTTGTGGTGTAAGCTATGTTGTGCATGCTATGTGTAGTGAATTATGTGGTGCAAGGTAGGTGGTGCAATCGATGTGGTAGGAGCTAACGTGCTCATCTATATGGTGTGAGCTAGGTGGTGTAAGCTGCGTGGTGCCATCTATGTGGTGCGATCTACGGGGTGTGAGCTGTGTGTTGCAATCCATGTGGTGCAGTCCATAAGGTGCGATCTAGTTGGTGTAAACCATGTGGTGCACTCCAAGTGGTGCAATATGTTCAGTGCAGCGTATGTGGTGCGAGCTATACTTGTGCAGTCTACGCAGTGCAATATAGGTGGTACGAATTGTGTGGTGTATGTTGTGCGGTGGTACGCTATGCAAAGCAATGTCCATCAATAGCATACAGTGAAAAGATGCGTAAAGCAAACATAGCAATCCAAATCAATGCGAACCAATGACAATAAGTGCAACGCAGAACCAAACAATGCAAACCAATGAGACGCAACACGCTGCAACGTCAGGCAACACAGTGCACAGCAATGCAAATCAATGCACAGCAACGCAAATCAACGCAGAGAAAACAATACGAATTGATGGTATGAAATGCGGAATAGCGCACAACAATGCAATGTAACACAAACCCAGACGTCGACGGGGCGGCGACGGCGACTACCTAGCCGTCAGACCGCTGGACAGGCCCAGAGCGACGGGGCGGCGACGGCGACCACATAGCCGCCCAGCCGAGGTGGAGGCCCAGGAGACGGGCGGCGACGAGGCGGCGACGGGGCGGCGATGGCGATCACATGATTAGCAGCCATGCCGACGGGCAACTTAGACAAGAAATGAGAGCACCATAAGTGCAAGCACCGTCTGGAGAACACTACGGCGTGCACTGTGTACCAAACATCTGGATCATGTGCGGACGCTCCGCGGTTACTGTGCGCTTGTTTTTGACCATGCCGGCGGGGGGGGGGCGGCATTCAATGATGCCTGCTGCGTGCCCCCCACCATTCACTGCTGAACGCATTACCACTTGCACCTTCCACGAACATCTGGATCATGCGCAGACGCCCCGCGATCACTGCGCGTTGGCCTTGGTCAGGGACAGCAGGGGGCTGGCATATTGCCTGCTGTGTGCAGGCCCACCACCAAGCTCAACAAAAATGCAAATGCCATCTTGCCCGGGCGCTGTGTGCACGCCTACGATCCCTGTCAACAACGTGTGCAAAGTGACTGCGGGTGCACGCCCACACATTATTCACAATGATCGCAAACCCGCCGTGCCTTTGCGCTCGATTTTGACTGGGATGGTGGGGGGTCGACATACGGCCCAATGTTGCGCACCTGGTGCGCGTGGCGCACCTGTCGCGTGTGGCGTACCTCGCGGGCACCGCGCACCTGGAGGGCGTCTGCATTGTATCCCGATTGTTGTCGATGGCAGCTCATGCATGTGCTGAAACTCGTATGCTACTTATGTGGTGGGAGGGCGGGTGGGAGTGAGCGACACAGCTTGCAGCTTGGGGCAGATTGACCCCTCCCCTACTCCCTACCCCTAGATCTGGACAGAGGGTTTCGCGAGGTGTCGGAGGGTCCTCTTGTGCCCTGGATGGCTCACAGGTAGCCCCAGATAGCCCAAGATCGTTACCAAGATGACAAAAGACAGCCAAACATTGTTCGAGATAGCTTCGAACATACCTTCAAGAAACTTCAGGACTGCCTACGACAACTACAAGTGGTCACGGAATCTCCTGCGGACGTCCCTCAGAAGCCAACTACCTCCAAAACCTAAGAAACTCACGGATTTGCTGCCGTCTCGCATTTTCGTGTCCGACGGGCGTTGGAGGCCCCAAGACGGCTACAATATGCTACAATGTGGTCCATTACGGTTCATCGCAGCCCCAAGAAGGGCCACAACTGCTCCAAGACGGCCCCAAGACCGCCAAAAACTGCATGTCGGCTTCTGGCTAGGGGCTGCTGGTTCTGGGCCACCCCTGTTTTGATCGATGGCGACCAGGGTGGCCCCCAAGAGGGTCCCAAGAGGGGTCCAAAAAGGCCCCAATAGAGCTAACACGGTTCCCCAAATGGCTCCAACATGGTTCCAAGAGGCTCCCAGAGAACTCATTTCACCACTTTTGGCCCCCATGCTTCCCTACATGCTTACACACGCCCCTCCTCCAGACAACGCCCGTGGACCTCGTTTCTGGATGGGCTGGATGGGGCACGCGAAGCGTCACGACTGACAGTGAGTTGCAGCTCTTGTCGCTTGAATGTATTGTACATCGATCGCGGAAACAAAACACATAAAACCATGACACCCAGCACGTAGCCCTTGTAACTCAGAAATGTATAACCATCCCTGAGCTTAAGAAACGCAAGCAAAACACTGGAATACTTGCGAGTGCCACCAGATCCAGCGAAATATCAGCAACGATCGCCCGTATACTTGTGATTCAATACTGGAGTTCTGACTCATCTAACGATGCGTTGTAAATCAACATGGGGCCAAAGGAAGAGAAATGAGCGAAGTGTATTTGCGGGTGCGCAACAGCAGCACGGGAGGGCACCATTTGAAATACACATTATGGTGCCCAACTGCATCTGCCTGAATCTACGCATGTCCGGGCATTGTGCGGCTGGGAGTGTGATACAATCATAAATGAGTCGCGAACCAGAGGTGGGGGCTTGGATACAGGGCATGCCAGGGGCGACCACAACACCTGGATGTCTTGGAACACTTTGTCATCAAGCTGCCAAATGGTTCAGGCCCTCGGGCGTGGGAGTGCAAGTTTGACGTCTGCGGCGTTCGGAAAGGTCACAACAAGGAACTGAACCTCTCGAGGACACGAGATCTGGCCGAATCCGGCGCGTTCCCCCGGAAACCCGACAATAACATCCCTCAAATAGTGGATATCAACCCCTGAGCTCAGGACATTGCTGCTTGCGTACTTTCACGGCTGGTGTCACTCCAAGCCTGGATCCTTGCTGGCATGAGTGGAGCTAAGTCGCTCTACGACGCAATCCAGCCACAGAGCACGGGCTAGCATTCACCAGACGTCGCGCGGGTTTGCAAAATCTATCTGAATCCGAAGACAAAGAATCGCCTACCAGAAAACTGTTTGCAACAACTGGCCTTGCACCGTGCTCAATCTATCCGATCCTCGAACTGCACATCCGTCCGGCAACGCCAGATTGACTCCCTGCAATAGGAAGACTGACCAGCACGTGACCAGCACGCAAGCCTCCGCAGAAACACTTGCAGCAGTCGCGCAGGAAAAAGCGAAAGAAATGCCGCTCCTGTGGAGGATTTGACGGTATCTGCCAGCCCAGACCTCTCCTCATGGCGCAGGCCGAGGTCGGCCAGAATTCGACTCTCGCCAGCTGCTCCGAGCCCAGAAATTGGGCCCGCAGCGGCCGCGAGCTCGGTGTCTCGAGGCGGCCGGCGAGCCTTGAGGGCCCGCACCGTGTCGTGGGCACCCTGCAGCCCCGCCAGCAGCTCCGCCTGCATCGGCGCTGGGGGTGTTCAGAACTACTGCCTTGGAGCTTCTGTCAGGGCTATTGGGGGGGGGGGGTACACGTCGGTAGGAAGGCGGATTCAGCTGATGGGGTCCAGGCCCCCCCCCCAGAGAATAACAGAACACAGCAACAGCGTGCCGATTCTTGAAGTAGGAAGGCGCTTGAAGTAGATCTGGGATCTGGGAATCCAGAAACACCTAATGGAGGATGACGATTAATAAATGACCGGGGGTCGTGTTCACGCGGCGGCGCCCGGGATGACGATTAGAAAACACCGGCCGCGGGCTGGAAACACCTATTTTTTTTTTAATCGTTCTCCTCCAGTCAGAAAATTCTGCAGAAACAGCAGAAAACTATTGTTTATCGTTCTCTCCCATTTTTGATGAATCGTCATCCCGCATTGCTTCCAACGACCGGCGGGTGAGCTCAAGGGGGAACGCATCGACCTCCAATCGCCCAGTCATCGCCGGCAGGGGCCCGAGAGCCCGCCCCGCCCAGGAGCGCGCGGCTTCGCTATCGGGCCCCTGGCACCGATCTGTATGTATATATATGTATATATATATGTATGTATAAACACATATATATATACATATATATACACATGTTTATACGTGTAATTATATATATATATATATATATATATATGTGTGTGTATACGTATATATAGATGTATACATACATAGATGTATATATATATGTATACATATACATCTATGTATACACATATATATATACACAGAAATACTAAAAAAAAAATACAAAACAAAAAAAAAAGAAAAAAAAAAAAAAAAAAAAAATAAAAACAACGGAAAAACAAATAAAAAAAACAAGAAAACACATCAAAAAAAAGACAAGGTAAAAGGAAGAATACAACAAAAAAAAAATACAAAAACAAAAAAAAAACAAGCACAAAGAAAAAGAAAACGAGGAGCCTCCCAAAGGTCAAAAGAATTGTGAAAAGCGCGAGAGCATAAAAGAAAACAACAAAAGCAAAAGGACAAACAACAAAAAAAAACAAGACTGCATGGCGCTTCGGGGCCCATGCGCTTTGTTCCGACGCTTCCCCTGGGCAAGTGAAATAAATTAAGCGCATTTTCTTCAGCAAGAGGACCTCGAGCGGGGGTGGGGTCCATGGAAACGGGCGACCCGCCCATTTTTCCGATATCCCGGGTGCCTGCTGACACCGCTTTCGGACGATGCGCTGGCACGCTTGTGCGCAGGAGTGGGGAAATCATGCTGTTTTTTTCGCGCGCGAAGGTCCTTTGAGGAAGTAAGGAGCGTTCCCATGACACGCCGAAGAAGTCACAGAAGCTCCGAACACATCGATTTTTGATCGCTTCCCGAATGCCTGGAGGGCTCCAGGCACTCAGGAAACCTTCGATCGTCGAATTTCGAATCTAGATCCATTGCCTGTCTCTCTCGATCGGGTAGCTACTGAAACCTCGAGCCTCAAACGTGGAACCAAGATCGTCGGGTCAGCTTGATGTATTTCGTAGGAGAACGCCGTCTGATCGTTTTTGGTGCTCTTTTGTGCCGTCCTGGGGCACTCTTGGGCCGTCCTGGGGGCTTCTTGGGCCGCCTTGGGGAGCCCGGGCCCTCCAGAGGTCTTCTGAAGCCATCTAGGGCCCTCTTGCGGGCCTCCAGTGGCGTTCTTGGAGGTATCCCATGGCTTTCGTGGGTCTCTCTTGGGAGCCCTCTGGGGGCATCTTGGGCTTCTTGTGGGCAGTCTCGGGGCTCTCTGGGGCAGTCTTGGGGCCCCCTTGGGCCGCCTTCAACCCCTCTAGGGGGCCTCCCGGGCCGTCTTGGGGCGAGATTGGGGCCCCATTGGGCCGTCTTGGACGCTGCAAAAGATCCAAAAAGCGGATATGCACAACAAATGTATTTCCTGAAGGAATGTGACGATTTTGGCTTCTTCGGGGCTCTCTTAACGGCCTCTTGGGGTGTCTTGGGGGCCTCTTGGGCCGTCTTCAGACCATCGAGGTTCCTCTTGGAGCGCTCTTGCGCTGTCTTGGGTCTCTCTTGCGCCTCTCCGACGACCCCTCTAATCGCCTTCAGTCGGCTCGCAAGGCCCAGCGAGGCGCCCTGGGAGGCCCCGAACCTTTTCCAAGGGCGTCCAGGGGGCCGCCGAAACGTCCGAAAGGGCGTCGGGAGCGTCCCTGGGGGAAGGATCCGGTTTAGGGGGGGGGGTCCGGGGGGGGTTCCCCCGGGGTCGGGGGTCCGGGGGGGGGGGGGGGGTCCGGGTAATAAAGATATAAGAACAGGAATATGTCGGCGATGTATCGCAGATTCCAGGTCGATCTTTCCCTCCCTGAGGTGGTCCCCCCCAACGCTTCGCCTGCTGCTCCCCCGCCCCCTGGCCACAAGCGAGGCGACGGCCCGATGCAGGCAGCGCCCGGGGGGGCACCGACAGCTGGCGCGCAGACGGGCCGAGGGGGGGGGGCGGGGGACGGACGCCGCAGGGCACGCGCGATGGAGCCCGTGCGCAGCCCGAGGCGGGCGGGAGGCCCCCCCCGCAGGGGAGGGGGGGCCCAAGAGGGGCCGGCGGTGGGGTCACCGCGCTGGGCCCGCGAAGTCTCTGCGAGGCGAGGCCCTCGCCTCGCAGAGGAGGGAGGAGGGAGGAGGGAGGAGGGAGGCAAGGCGAGGCCCTCGGAGGAGGAGGGAGGAGGGAGGGGCGGGTTTCTGGTGGGGCTCTGGTGTTCTGGGGCTGCCGGGCCTGCTCGATCAGGGCCCCCCTCCTGATTGCCGCGTAGAAGCATGGGGCGTCGCAGATCTGGGAGAGCTCCAGCGGAGCACATCGGCCATCACTGATGGGCAAATTCTCCACCACCGCTGCCATGAGTAGGACGGGGGAGAAGGGGGGATGAGGAGGTCCTCCTCCTCCTCCTCCTACATCTCCTATGTGTGGTAGTGGTGGTGGAAAAATGGGACCATCAATCAATGCTATCCGGGAACGAACCTACGAGCAACCAACGGAGATTCCAACGCCTGACTTCTGGCGGCCTACAACGTCACTGCTACCCTCGAGCAAACTCCCCCGTCCTGGGGGGCCACTTATGCCGGAAAGGTGTCCCTGGGGCTGTGACCCCCCCCAGAAGAAGCACCCCTCAAGGAACGTCGTCATCGAGTTGAGGGGAAGCCCCTTCTGGAGGGTTCCAAAAAGGGTTTTTTGGGGAGGGGGGTTTCCAGGAGGGGTTCCCCAGGGGCTTCGCACCATGTATTTTGACGATGTTCCGAGGCCCCTGGGGGGCTCTCTGGAGAACCCCCTCCCCAAACACCCCCTTTGGAACCCTCCGGCCCATCCCATTGACCCGTCCCCCGCCGGGGGGAGGGGTACCGGGAGTTGTCTCGGGAGGGTCCCGGAGGGGGGGGCCATGTGGAGGGCGTGGTATCCTATGTTACTTGATGGGTGTCAGCTACATCTGGCAAGATGCAAATTGCTAGAATGACACATGTAGTGGTAACTTTAATGATTTTTGTTCTGTGAGGTGGAAACCTAGCTGCGTTCCATACACAATCTGTTTCATACTTAGTCAGTCGGTGCACATTGCCTATGGTGGTATGGTTACTCATCGGAGTTTGGCACCACTACTCCTCACTACTATAAAGTCTCGTGTAAACGATGCGCATCGTATTGGTAGGATGGGTGCGTCTTAACGCGTTAGGCCGCACGATGCAATTCGCAAACTCCCAATGTTCCTCCAAATGCAGCTCCCTGACCCGATCCCGCTCATCCCCGAGCCCCTGTTTGGCTCCCCAGCCTCCTCCTCCTCATCATTTCTGGTGAAGCCCGAATTTGTTGTTATCGATGTGCGCTGACTGACTGGTCGCAGACGTTAGCAAGCCGTCATATTCTCGGCCACCACGGGCGCAACCTGTGGCGCAACCAACATCAAGCCGTTTGATGCTCGGCCGTCGAAGGCGCAGCTGATATCAGGCCGTGCATGCCTGGCCGCCGAGGGCACAACCCATGGCGTTACAACATCAAACATGTATAATGATCGGCAGACGAGGGCGCAATCTATGGGGCCATGGATGCCAAAACATGGATGGTGCCATCCATGGCGCAACCTATGGCGCAAGCCGTGAATGATAGCGCAACCCAAGGACGGCGCAACCTGCGATGCAACCCATGGATGGCGCAAACTATGGGGCAACCAATGGATGACACAACCCATGGCGCAAACCACGGCTGAATCAACCTATTGCTCCGCGTCATGTTGACGCGGAGGTGATCAGACTGGCCTCGGAGGAGGCAAGCTTAACTTCGGAGAACTAGGAAAGGGGGGAAGACGACGACGACGCCGACGAGGCTGCAGACGAAGCCGCAGCAAGCCGGCGGGGGCCCACAGAGAAGTTAGCCCTCGCAATTTCTGCGAGGCTGCACCCGATCTGCGCCCGCCGTTCAGGCTGGCGGTGGGGCCCAAGTGCGATCTGCCCTGTGGTGCCCGTCCACCGCGTCCTCCTTCTCTCCCTGCTGCTCCTCCTCCTCCACCACCGCATCTGCCTTCCACCCCTGGAACCAACTCTTCCCACGCCTTCGCCTCCGACCCGAACCTGTAGCCTCGATCCTCCTCGTCCTCCTCCCTCCTATTGCTCCCCCTTCCACAAGCATCCTGCTCCTCCTCGTTCACTTCATCCGCCTAGACACTGGAATTGATTCGCGTTACTTCGGCAACGAGCGCTACTTCCTCGCCCAACTACCCCACGTAGCGTAGGACGCTCCACTGGTATCCTTATGCTACCCTCGTGCTGTCATTGTATAACCATCCTGGGAAATATTAAGATAATACGCGAATGCCAATCATGCCAAGATATGAGACTACGCTGATCAAAGGAACATCGACCAAACAAGACATGCTAACATGTTGACATGGTGTAGCCACGTTAGGTTTGGCATATTGCTTGTTATCCAGAATTGGCTATGTTGTGCTACTCGCGTTTGAGTGTTAGTCTTCTTGACAATGTAGATTAGTTGTGCTATCCGTG